GCCCACCTGCGCAACGACCTTGACAGAGCAAGGATGCCTACTCTTCGGGAGCCGGATCATCATCCCTCCTGTACTCCAGCCAACCGTTATGAAGGCACTCCACGAAGGACATCCAGGAATGAATCGGATGAAGGCCCTTGCTCGCAGCTACGTATTCTGGACGAAGATCAACGACGACTTGGAGAAGCTAGTTCGCAACTGCGCCAACTGTCAAGAAGCTGCCAAGTCGCCCATCAAAAATACGCTTTGTTCGTGGTCCCGCCCAGATGCGCCATGGAGCCGGATCCATATCGATTTCGCCGGCCCAGTGGACGGGATTTCCTATCTGGTGGTCGTCGACGCCTTCTCCAAATGGCCTGAAGTCATTCCAATGACTTCCACCACCAGTACCGCCACACTAAGGGAACTCCGACGCCTTTTCGCACAATTCGGACTTCCCAAGATCATCGTTTCGGATAATGGAACTCAGTTCACCTCCGAGGAGTTCCACAATTTCTGCAGAAGTAAAGGAATCGAGCACGTCCGGTCGCCGCCGTTTCATCCTCAGTCAAATGGACAAGCTGAACGCTTCGTCGACACCTTCAAGCGCTCACTGGGGAAGATGAAGAACAATGGACCAACCGTGGACGCTCTACAGACATTCCTCTTCACCTACAGGAACACGCCGTGCACCGCATCGCCCGATGGACGATCCCCCGCAGAAAACTTCATCGGTCGACGCCTCCGCAGCACGCTGGACCTGCTGAAGCCTAGCCATGCGCCAGAAGCTAGGCCAGACATCGCCATGGAGAAGCAGTTCAACCGACGACACGGCGCCAAGCCAAGGAAGTTTGAGCCAGATGACCTCGTTTACGCTCGCGACTTCCGCTCCGGACAACCCAGATGGTCTCCTGGACGCATTCTACTACGACACGGCCGAACGCTCTACGACGTCCTAGTACAAGAATCCATCTGGAAGCGCCACGCCAATCAACTACGCCCACGTGCTTCGCCGGAAGATGCACGCAACCTAATGGACGCCTTCGATATGCCGTTCAACTCCACACCAGTATCGCCTTCAAGGACGCTGACGCCACCGTTGTCTCCGATGGTCACGACTGCACCGTCTACGACGACTACCCCGGCAACGACGACGACAACTACACCCTTGGAGCCTCCGACCACCGCACCCGGACGACGATCGAGCCGCACTCGACGCCCTCCTGATTACCTTCAGATTGACCCGTACGCCAAGTCGTACCAGAGCCGTCAATCTTAGGGGGGAGGTGTTGGGACACCATGTGATCTCTTTCTTTTGTACTTGATCTGTAACCTACGCGACCTGCTAGATTTTGACCAGAGATCTGGCGGGCCAGTACGGTATATAAGTGTACAGTTTCATTGTAGTTCAGTTCAATGTCTTCCAATAAATATTCTGCTACTGCCCGTCTTCCAAAGGACACAACAGGTAGCAAAAATTTTGGGTGGACCTATAATTATGAAACGCAGTGTATTACCCCTAATCAGGGTCAATCCTATGTTGCGACAAGTACCAACGGGGGGGGTCGTATTTTGTTGAGTTTGTAGGTGGGGGAGGGGGGTCGTATTCGATGTAATCTTAGAATTCATGGGTGAGTTTAGGGCGCGTAGTGTGAAGGAGCGGGAAAAATTTTGCCGTCTCACCGCACGTTTATGTCTACACCGCTCCTCCCCACACCCACGCTCGACGGCCCACTTTTTGGAGGGAAAAGTGGGTGTGGTTAGGTGTGTCGGGTAGTCTCAGAATTAAATACTATAGAAACAGCGACCATGATGGCGAGGGTGGTGAAGAGGGGTCGTGAAATTTTTGATAGGAAGGGGGGTGAAAAAATTTCCGAAAAGTTGCAACGGTGGGACCCCTATCTACGGATTTTCGATCGGGAACCTTTCTCGAGTTTGTTAGGTTGTATTAGAGCAAAAGTCACGAAAAAATCCAGCGTTCGCACGAAGGAGAATATTTTCGTCTGTTTTATTATCAGTGTGTTGCCGCGATTATTGATGAGCATGCATCGCTCAAATTAGACGCACCGAACCGCACATTCCCATCGCTCGTCTCACGAAAAGCATCTGTTGTTTGTCATCTTATGAAAACACCCTTTCTTTTGCCGTGGGTAACAAGTGCCGTGGGTAGCTGAGTAGGGATGAAATGATGCCCCGGTTAATGGTACCGCACTTGCCCCGGAAAGCAGTCGTCCCGTCTGGGGCGGAAGTTTTGTTCACAGCTCAGCATTCTTGTAAACTGGTTTTTTGATTTTTTTCTAAGTACCAATGAACTGAGATCAAGGGTTTTTAAAAAGGCGACTCATTATGTGGGCTAAGAGGCGGCTAATATGAAATATGGAAATTGCTCAATGGTCTGCAATTTATCTCGTCATATCTGCACAAGAGACAATTTGTTTACCAAACTTACAGCTTAGGCTTATGTAGGGTTAGGTATAGTTTAATAGTAAAGTGCTCCCCTACAACTCAAATACGCAGGACTAGGGCGCTAGGACTCTTAGCAATAAACAACTCGTAGTACTGCCTACGCCGCCCGTTGTGTATCTGGTGTCTTATGCGTCCGCTATCCTCTTTTCCTAGTTTGTTTAATCGTCAAAATAAAAATCTTCGGTTGACTGTTCGTTGCAGTTTATTTTCCTTTTTTGTCACTGGTGGGTGGACCAGCAGTTGTCGCTTCATACTTGGACCCCATTGCTCCGCCTTGGCTATCAAGCGGAGAATTGCAATTTTCTAATGATTAATAAGTATGCAAAGTGGCCAAAATCATGGTAAAAAGTCGTTATATTATTGAAAGGAATGTTAATCAAATGAAACAAAGAACTGTAACAAAATTGACGGTTACTCGTATCACAACTATAATGGGATCGGAGTCTGTCACCGTTAGCGTTTGTGCCTTCAGATGAAGGGGGAAGGTGTACCTGCTGGCACATATATAGGTAAGCCCTTGAAGGATAAACAAGGTTTTCTGGTGCTTACGGATCTGATAAAGTCCTCTGAGGATCCGTGCTCTGACAGAAAACTGAGCAGAGTTCGGTAGGGAATTTACAGGTACTTCAAGATCATGGAATCGAAAAGGGTTTCATTTATTTATCATTTATTTCTTTATTTCTTCACTTAAATTGTTGTCCATTTACTGGTTTCTTCAATGCACACAGGGTGCGTGCATAAATAACATGGCAAAACCTTAAGAAACTGAAAGCCAAAAAAGTATAGAAGTGTAATAGGCATTCAACCACAGGGTGAGTCAGAGGCCATCCTAATACCGTGGAAGGATGGAAGGTGTAGGTATGGAATAGAAAGGAGATAAAAAAGGATAAAGCATTTGCCGTTGATCAATCCCTTTTTGGGATGCGGCACGCATTCTACTTCCATTTGTACATTCGTAGTGGCGTTTGAATGCGATGTGGCCTATACAATGACTTGCGGGGGCCAGCCGATGTACAAGTCAGTGTTTTTATCCTCCCAGACAAGTCTGGTACCAATTAACCGACCCCGGAGGGATGGAAGGCTTGGTTGGCCCGGGCGACTCACGACCCAGGATTTGATCCCGGACCGCTCGCGTGGTAAGCGTGTCCACTTGCCACTACACCACTTCGAGAAAGTACTGCTGCAAAACTTTCGCCAATTGGCATTGTTGCTCAGCCTATGTATGAGTAGCTTCAAAAATATTAGCTCTGCAGCCGGCATTGCTAACATGGAGCGCCAGAGAAAAGGCACTGCTCTCCGTTCTGTTACGTTCGCGGTTTATAAATGCTCATTTGAGCTTTTTATACTAGACAGTTACTAGATTTTTATTGTCCATGTGGGCCTTATGAAGTAAGCGGACTAGTGGCAAGGGCTGGGACTGCTTACTACGCGCGCGGATCCGGAGATCAATTCCTCGGTCGGGCCAACCAAGCCTTCCATCCCTCCGGGGTCGGTTAATTGGTACCAGACTTGTCTGGGGATAAAAACACTGACTTGTACATCGGCTGGCCCCCGCAAGTCATTGTATAGGCCACATCGCATTCAAACGCCACTACGAATGTACAAATGGAAGTAGAATGCGTGCCGCATCACCAGGATGAGGTATTAAACGCATAATGCTTTATGGGGCTTAACATGGATTTCCTTATTTTGAGGTACGTAAGTCCCAATAATGGCAGGGAGTTTCTGCGTTTGATATTCGCCGTGGTGGTCGGTTTACCTCTCACATCTGCGCTTTTTCATGCTGTTGTTTCAGCTGTTCCGCATGCGCTGAGTTGCACATAAGTGGTCACTGTTAGGTGGATATGCCGCTGACGGTGTGTCAGAACCCCTTGTTGGTTCAATTTGAGGATTAAATGCCATGATGTACTTGTTTCCTAGTGTTAAGAACTACAGATACTTGGGAGGACATCGCACCATCCGACATGCAGAAAAGACAGAGAAAATCGAGTGATTAAGAATGATTTGGGGGACTTAGCGCACTCACGGTTACCATAATTTGGCCTACCCTGTATTTTGAAAAAAAAACCCTGTCCCGTAACCTGCTAACCTGCTATAGTTTGGACTATCCAACAACCAAATAGCGTGCGTTAATTACTTCTAGTTTGAAGCTTACTAGAAGGATGTCTATAACTTTTTGTGGACGAAGCAGTTACCCTCTTCTAAGCGACGATGAAAGCGCTTTGACTCCTGACGACGAATTTGTTGTCTGTCAGGCTCTCGGGCGAAATTCAATTCAAACTCTGCGGCACGCTCTCTCAATACGATTTCTTGCTCGCACAATTATGATAAGTCCCTGAGGCGCCCCCTCCATTCACTCGCCTGCAGGTTCTTCTTTTATTTGTCGATACTTGCAAGTTTTCAAGGAAAAGCGTTTTTTCTACTTACATTGCCCTTTATAGCTTAAGTGTCCGTGATAAATGCTAACTGCAGTGATCTTTCAGGTTTGTGGTCATGATGAAATAGAAACCGCGCAGTTTCTCTCACACATCTCTCTCCCTCTGAATCTCTCAATTTGAAGGGCACGCACTCTACTGAAATCGACATTCTCGCGAGCCTAACCCATAAACTTTGGGTTACATATAACACAGGGAGAGGATATGCTTTCAAACATTGACTTCCGTCTAAGGGAACGTGCGAAACGGAAGCCAAACTGACTCTTTGACCACCCCTCCCTTAGCTAATTTTGTTCCATTAACAGTTTCTTCAATTTCTTTGCAGAGCAAACGATTTTTAAAGACGAAACTTGTGATAAAACGGATGTCTATGAAAGAGGACGATGGGTAACAGGGTAGATTATTGTTAAGGGATGTGGCGTCTTTGTGGCAAAAAGCGCTTCCTCAGAAATGGGATGAACCGTCAAAGATTTCTCACAACCTCCTTCGGTGTTCTTGCACACCTATCGCTGACACGTGGAAAGGATGATAACTGCAATTTGTTTGAAATGAAGACTCCACTGCCACTGTTCGATTTTTTTCCTGAGAGCTTATTGCGCCGGTCATCCTTCATCTGTGTAGCAATCGTCGCCTCCACGATGACAGTTTAACATCCGATCGCCTCTCTATTTGCGGTATACTTATCAACCCATACAATGAACGGAATAAGAGAAGCGCCATCGTCTCGGGTAAAGCTGTCACTCTGGCTTTTTCCAGTGACACCACTTGGCACCTCTCTTTGGGCATCGACGGTAGTAGCTTATCGAAAAGAAGTGACACCTGAGTGAAGGCACGGACACGGCAGAATCTTGAGCAGAGGAAAGTGGTGACGGCTGACAAACGCAGCGGACCCTGCTACTGCGCGGTACTAAAGCTGGTAGTAGTGAGCCGAAATAGCAATGATTAGACTCCAAATTAAAATCCAACTTTTGGATTATGGTTCAGGGGGTAGGTGGACCACATGATAAGTCTTTGAGCGATAGAACCTCAGCTTTTTAAGTCGTGGTGCCCAGTGGCTCCATGCACTGCGCTTGCATTGCACTGGGTGTTTCTCGCACAATAGCTCATTTCGTCCTAGTGTGAACCCTTGGTTCAGCCGAGTTAAGGGAGAGATCTCATTTTGTGATTCTGTTTGTCATAGATGGTGAAATGGATGTATTTCTGGAGAACATAGGAGGAGAACTTTCTTCGGAGTGAAAAATTCTTATCCAAATGTGAAGGCATTTGGAGATTCTGCGGATGTTGTTGTTCATTTTTTATGTGTTGTGTTGTTTATAATTTTCTCGCTGAAATAAAATCAAGGGATCGGGGCAATTTGGAGACCATCAAGGTTGTC